TTAGAACTTACAACTATATTTTCTATGTTTTTTGTCTCAAAGGATAGGAAACCATCTGACTAACTTTCAGCAATAATGGTAGATGACAAAGAAGAAGGAATGTGAAAGAAAAAGGTGGAGGCTACAGATTACTGACCCTTGGTTCAAAACAAGACAAGACAAGAACAAACAGCAATGATCAATAGGTACAAACAGAAACTTCAATAAGAGAGCAGCAAGATAACAACAATAACATAATAAGTTATTCACAGAAAGAGAACTAAACAATGAATTATTATATATAATAATTGGAAATACCAGATATTTTTTTTAAATTCACAGTATGTCATCAAGAAATTAAACCAATCCTCTGCGCTCATTGTTACCGAGAGTAGATCACTGGAAATAGTAAGATGCAAAGGAGGGTAACCATATGCAGGAGTAAGAATGTTTACAAAGCTTCAGTAGCAGAGAGACATGTTTAAAACAGCAACATTTCTTAAACCATGAAAAACCTCTCCCACCTTGAGATAGTGATACTGTGTAATCATATGTCTGATTTAGCTTTAGAAATTTATATCTAATAAGCTACAGAACCTAACTAAAAGGTAGAATAAAAAATAGATATAATCCTATTGTTTAGATAATAGCTGTTTTATGTTTTTTTGTTGCTTGGTAACTGTAATAAAGACTGATGCTGGTATACTCATACAACAGTCTTTATTAAAAGATAACTACGAATGTGAGTTCTCTTCCAAAAAGACTTAGGGACACATAATTTGAATTTCCATCCCTTCCCTCCTTCTTTCTCTATCTCCCACATTCACACATAGAACAGCACAGAAGCTGGTTTCTTGATTCTATGCTACTGACTTGTGTCTATATAGTGCACATGCATAAAGTGTGTGCACATGCATAAAGGAACAAAGTTGCACAAATTTGCTTCATGCAATACTGGATTGGAATACTACATAGAAATGATTGCTATACTACTAAGTGTGAGCACGCATGGGAAGTCTGAATTATCTGTAATCAATGTCACTTTTCTTTCTTTGTTTTCACCACACAACTGCATACTCAGGTACTGACATAAAATTCATCATCTTGAAGATTGTAACAGCAGACAAACACATTTGTGGCAGTATGTAGTGAAATATTAGGAGCTCCTAGACAGGGTGGGAAAAGAGCCCTACTTACTACTGTCATAAAATAACGGTTACTGCACAACATAGATGTTTGCCGTTTCCTCTTGATTAGTAGAAATAGAAAAATACACAAATTGATTTGTGGAATTTATATAGGTCACAGATACTAACTTTTATTTTGGGGAGACAGACACTGGTACAGAATACACATAGCCGTGTGATTTATAGAAGTCTGTGATGCACTCTTCACTAATGAACTACACATTCAAAAAGGTTAGTTCTATCTATCCAGTAAAACTCAAGGTAGATCTTATTCTAATATGTTATGTGAAGTAGAAACTGGGGGAGGGCTCCATAAAACAGGTCCTACTACATCCTGGATGGCAGGCTGAGTGAGCTGCCCAGTAAAGTGAGAGAAGTTCTTCTGCTCATCTACTCCACTGTACAGCTATCTGGCAAGTTTGTTCTGACTTCAGGGTTTAAAAGAGTATAAACCCATAGTCAAAACATACCTAGCAAACAAAAGTTCGCACTGGAAGAGCAGCATGGTGAAGTGGAAAACTGCCCAGAATCCCAGGGAAGGGAGCATGCTTACACCAGCCTGAAATGGCCAATAGGTATCAGGCTGTCCCCATAGCCTAGGGGTCACCTGAATACACTGATCATATTTGAATATACTCATCCTGTCACTGCTATGAGTTAACGGGAAAAACATCACTCTTTACAATTTCGTTGCAATTCCAAAATTCTTTTCTCCCAAGAAACAGAAGTATACCTAATCCAAATTCTGTGTGGCAATGTTCTTCTCAAAAATAAGGGCTGTTGATGGGTTTTAGCTATAACTTGAAAATGGCTTGTAATTTTATCTAACAAAATCAAGTGTTTGGATGCAATACAGTGTAAATGTTTTCTGTAAAACTACCCTTTTGAGTGAAGTAAAACAATTAGGTACAAAAAGTGTCTAACTTCTTAAACAATAAAAAAAATTGAGAAGGAAAATAATTAAAACACCTGTCAGTAAAATTAAATGTCCAACCTTCAATAACAGCTCATAACCAAGAAAGCAAGATTCTTAAAATTCAGAATGGGCAAGTTTATTGTAATGAGAAAGTTATGTGTGCCTTGGCCCTCATTTATCATTCTTCTTTTCATTGGTCTATTTGTGGGTGTAAGTATTTATAGCGTTGATCCATGTTAACATCATTAATTTTATTATGCCTTTTATTATAAAATATATTATCTATGGTACTGGACAGTGAAAGAAGTAACATGAATAAAACATCTGAAAAAAGCCTAATACACCATTAATATGATGATTGTCTTATTCATTAATTATTTTAGTATGTTCATTATATTACTTTTAAAAGTAATACAGTAAGAAAATGAGTTAAGACTGGCACTGAGCCATTGATAATAACAAACTGCCTGGATTATCGTTACATCCATGATGGGATGATACAGTTTGCTTTGGAAACTTTTGTCTGCAATCTGCATTAACTATTAAGATTAGTTGAACATTTTCTAATGACCATTAAAAGTTAGACCAAATAGGTGAGCATTGGCTATTTGAAACAGAGTTAGATTTTAGAACTCAAATCTGTGTGATTTCTCTATCCATAAAAATTGTGATTTAGGGATAGGCTAGGAGAGCTAAATGCTATGGATACTCTTACTTTTATTTACACAGTATACTCTATAATTCTTTTTCTCAATTCCTGAGAATTTATAACAAGAGATACAGACATGTCCCTTTGTGTTGGCAAGCATGCTTAAATCTACAGAGAAACAAGTCACATACTTCCATGTTTTATGCAGCAGTGAGTGCAGCATATTGCTGGATTCTTATTCTGGTTGGTGGTATGCAACTATTGTATACTAATGTTTACAAAAAGTACCCCACCCTGGCCACAAATATAAATAAATGACATCCTTTATTTCTAAACACTTTACACACAATTTGGAACAAAAAACCACAAGAGTACATTTCAAAGTGGCTTGACAAAAGGAAGCAAGGAGGCAGACTTAAAAAAAAAAAAGATAAGAGAAAATAGAAATGAAGTATCACAAAAAAGTAATCTTCCCTGTGACAAAAATGGAAAGGAAAGGTACAGATTTCCTGTATTTTATTTTCACAGATCATCAAGACCAAACATATGCAACAGGATACTGCATTGCTTTGGATTCAAAGGCAGAAAGATACTTTGGAATGCACAGAAGGTATATTGCAACTCCTTAAACCAAATGCAAATTTTCTTGGGATCATACTGCAGGAGTAGAGGGCAGAGAAAGATACAGCTGCTTTAAAGAGTTATATACAGGTAGTCCTCGCTTAGCGACCACAATTGGGACCAGCAACTCCGTCACTAAGTGCCATGGTCATTAAGTGGAAAATCATGTGACAACAGGCTTATGACGTCACTTCCCATTCAGTTGTTAAGCAAATCCTCGCAGACATTAAGCGAGACATCACATGACCACAACTTGCAATTTTGCTTCAACATCCATACTGTCGGAAGCTGGTTGTAAACCATGCAAATGGTTATCATGTGATTGTGGGATGCTGCAATGGTCATAAATGTGAGAACTGGTTGCAAAGCTGTTTTTTCCACACCGTCATAACTTTGAACAATCGCTAAATGAGGCAGTCGGTAAGCAAGGACTACCTTACTACATGAGTGCTCCCAAAGCACCTTTTTTGCTTTCTTATCTGAAGCAAGTACTGTATAGTCCTAGTAAGTTACTTTCACAAAGTTACAGTAACAGAAAAACAGGAATCATTCTTATTATTATTATTAGACTACTGCAATGCGCTCTACATGGGGCTACCCTTGAAGAATATCCGGAAGCTTCAGCTAGTCCAGAATGCAGCCGTGCGAGCAATGTTTGGGGCCCAAAGAAGGACCCATATAACACCTCTGCTCCGTGAGCTGCATTGGGTACCAGTTTGCTTCCAGGTCCAATTCAAGGTGTTGGTTATCACCTTTAAAGCCCTACATGGCATGGGGCCACGTTACCTGAAGGACTACCTCGCCCCCACAATC